CTGAAAAGGCTGAGTAAGAGCCTCGGGTTGTTTTCTTGTCTTTGCTAATTTGCTCTTAGCATTCCTTCTCTCTGTCATGGTTCTGTATAGCAGACTAGACTTTTTAGCAGTACAGTACATAAGAATATTTTACTCAGTTTAGGATGGTTTGATGTTGTTGTGTTCTGAATTCATAGCCTTAGTACATGCCTTGGATTCATTGTTTGTGCTAAATGCCAAAATACTGCACCATCGACATTACTACCTACTATACCTACAATATACTACATAGTATGTATGTATGTGGGGAGGAGAGACATAGACAGACGGATGGAAAATACAAAGGGTTTCACATCTGTAGCAGTGACAGGGCTAGTGCATCATGATTTGATTTATATGTTGATGAAATGCAGAAATAAAACAATAACTGTACTGTGTTTGGCTGTCAGTGTTGAAACCGGAGAGAAAGCAGAGAAAGAATCCCCGAGCAAAGAGGAAGAACAGCCAAAAGCGCCGAAGAAATCTGCGAAAAAGAAAGAGAAGCCCAAAAGGGAAGGAGGTTTCAATATCTGGACTGAGCTGGAAACCCAACGAAATAAATTTATGGTGACACATTTGCCAGTATTTGTTTCAGAACTGATTGCTGGCATTATTTCCATGTCGCTCTTCACCTAAAAATATTCCTCTCTTTTGTAGAACTACCTGTCCAGAAACTTCTACAACCTGCGTTTCTTGGCTCTATTCCTCGCATTTGCCCTGAACTTCATTCTGCTGTTCTACAAGGTAAAAAGGTTATTTTGTATTGCACTTGAATACTCAGGTTACATTCTCATATCAAAAGAAATACACTATAATCACATTTTGTACTTAATTATGTTGTTCAGTGTATCAAGCTGTCTTGTCTTTGCATTGTTTTGTTCTGTTTAGGTGTCTGACACACCCCCTGAGGGCGAAGAGATGGAAGGATCTGGACTGTCGGAGGGCAGTGGGCTGTTCGAAGGCTCTGGGTTGTTTGAAGGCTCGGGGGTAGAGGCTGAGGGATCTGGAATGGGTGAAGGAGGAGATGAGGATGAGGAAGACGTCCCAATTTATTTCTATTTAGAGGAGAGCACCGGCTACATGCAGCCCACACTGGCCTTCATTGCCGCCCTGCACACAGTCATATCATTCATCTGTATCATCGGCTACAACTGCCTCAAGGTACGATGGGCACAAACTGTGAACCGTGCTCTGTCTTATAACAGAAACTTATTCCAAAATCTTGCATACCTCGGTTAAACGGCATTTAAAATTGTTTTTGTCAGATTCCACTGGTGATCTTCAAAAGGGAGAAAGAACTTGCAAGAAAGCTGGAGTTTGACGGCCTTTACATCACTGAGCAGCCTGAGGATGATGACATAAAGGGCCAATGGGACCGACTGGTCCTAAATACACCGTACGTGGATAAAGAAACAATTTCAAACTAGTTCAAATACCAACAGATTTTCTTTCTTAATTGAAATAATAAATGATGACCCTTTTTCCCCCACAGCTCCTTCCCAAACAACTACTGGGATAAATTTGTCAAACGAAAGGTGAGTTGAGTTTGATTTTGGTTGTTTTAAAATGATCTGTGTAGAGCAGGTTTAATGTTTAATGTAATGTCTGTGTCCAGGTTCTGGATAAGTACGGAGACATCTATGGCAGAGAAAGAATTGCTGAACTCCTGGGTGTCGATTTGGCCTCCCTGGACGTGAGTCAACAACACGAGAAGAAACAGGAGGAACCAGACAACTCTGTGTTTGCATGGTATAGTACACATTTGAATAACAAAGATTACATTTTGTTCATTTTAAATGGATATCAACCAATATTGTATCGTTTTAGGATCACCTCCATTGACATCAAGTACCAGATTTGGAAATTTGGCGTTGTGTTCACAGACGGTGTAAGCAAACACTACATTATACAGTATTATACTATACTATGTGAGCACAATGTTAATTTTAGGAACTAAAATAACCTTCTTTGTTATCTTTTTGTAGACCTTCCTGTATCTCTGTTGGTACACGATAATGTCTTTGCTTGGGCATTACAACAACTTCTTCTTCGCCTGCCACTTGCTGGATATTGCCATGGGTGTTAAGACTCTGCGCACTATCCTGTCCTCAGTCACGCACAACGGCAAACAGGCAAGGGCATAAAGAAAACTAAACAGAGTTCATTTGCCGTCAGTTTGAATGTACTAACTCTGGCACCTTTTTGTCTCTGCTAGCTCATGATGACAGTGGGCTTGTTGGCTGTGGTGGTGTACCTTTACACCGTGGTTGCCTTCAATTTCTTCCGCAAATTTTACAACAAGAGTGAGGATGAAGATGAACCAGATATGAAATGTGATGACATGATGACTGTAAGTCACCGTTGATCTAAAAAATATTAATAATAATAATACATTCATGTCCGCACCACTTCCCAAATGATGTGTGTTTTCTTTACTTCACAGTGTTACCTGTTCCACATGTATGTGGGCGTGCGTGCTGGTGGTGGCATTGGAGATGAGATTGAGGACCCTGCTGGAGATGAATACGAGCTTTATCGAGTGGTTTTTGATATAACATTCTTCTTCTTCGTCATTGTCATTCTGCTGGCCATTATTCAGGGTAAAGACAATGCTGGCCTGGGAGACAATTTTAAAATTTTACATTTTTTGGAGACTTACTTAAAAACTGTTGGGATTTCAAGGCCCTGTTCACACCTGGCAGTAACGTGCAACTTGGATGATCTGATCACAAGTGGACAGCTCCGAGTACATCAAGTGAATTATTTAGTTTCTGTTGTACAGACTCAAATGAAAATGCGTGTTTTGTGTGTATTCCATCCATGAGAATCAATTTTGCCTGTTGCTGTGTCATGTTTCTTTAATATGACGATGTTGGCTCGTGATTTAATACGTACTTCCGCTAAACGCAAAAGACATCAGTTCAGTAAGAGGTCCTTTAGTTTGGCCAATGTGACACACCGCTAAAAGAATGTTGCCATATGCGGCACCACCTCTGAATGTGATCTGAGCGATAGGATCTCAGTGCGTAGAGCTGTCCACTTGAGATCGGATCGCCCAAAATGCATGTTAATGCCAGGTGTAAATGGAGTGTCAGGTATATTTGACAGATTTTATAAACGCCTCTAATCATAACATTACTGTAGGTCTGATCATTGATGCCTTTGGAGAACTCAGAGACCAACAAGAGCAGGTCAAGGAAGACATGGAGGTACCGTATAATACTTTAACTTGTACCTACTGTCACTTATTCACAATGTGGCTTTAATCCACATCACTGTTTTTGTGCAGACAAAATGCTTCATATGTGGCATTGGAAGTGACTACTTTGATACAACACCGCACGGCTTTGAGACCCACACTTTAGATGAACACAACCTGGCCAACTACATGTGAGTGTACCTCCTCTGTGTTGCAGTGTGTGCATGTAGAAATGAAAAAATATTAACATGCGAGTCTCTTTCAGGTTCTTCTTAATGTACCTCATCAACAAGGATGAAACAGAGCACACTGGACAGGTCCGTCTGATTTGTTTTATTACAATTTTTACATAAAGTCAGCTCCCATCAGTTTCTTGTCTCATGCTGTGTCCTCCTTTGAATTCTTCTGTTTTAGGAGTCGTACGTGTGGAAGATGTACCAGGAGCGCTGCTGGGACTTCTACCCTGCTGGTGACTGTTTCAGAAAGCAATATGAGGATCAACTTTCCTAGCCAACAAAAACCTTTACACACATGGAGTGAAAATGACAACTATTGAACTACCCGTGTTCATCATTTACTGACAAAACTCACCACAGATTGATTTTGTCATGAAAAATGCTAAATCATTTTCTTGGAACGATTGGAACAGCATGAACATTACAAGAACCTTTTTACTACAAAAATGTTAGCAGATAGCGAACAACTGCCAGTAAAGAAAGATACTTTTTATATGCAAATGGGATTCACACAAGTTTTAAGTGCAGTCATTTATTTAATCATATGAATACATTTGTTTTAATTTGTTGTCCGTTGACGAGGAGAGGTTAAAACCACTGTTTATGTGACAATGTGATAAAGTGCCTTAGCAGTAACACAAGTTGCATCAACTAGCACATAACAGAGTGTAGTTGCTATAAAGTTAGCTTCACACTTCTGTAATCAATAGTTTTATTCAAATTCATTATATATTTCCTTTGTGATTAATTTCTCACTTTCAGTTTAACGTATTCATATGTCTCACTGAGTGTTTTTTTTTTTTTTAGTTTTCTTCAGATACTGTAGCTTAGATGTTTGAATTTAAGTTATTTTATTTATTTTTCAAGACAACTTAAAGTCTGTGATGATGAATAAATTCTGTGTAAGAAAACGCTTCATTGTAATGTGAAATTGATTTGATCTTGACCTCAAACTGTATGTATAATGTAAAAGTTATGTAATAGTTATAACTGTCCTGTCCGTGAATGCTTAAATGTTGGTCCTAACCTGCTTCGTTTACAGTATAGATTCAGTTATTGTTCAATGAATGATTTTTTTTAACTTTAGATCAGTCTGCACCTTTGCAAAGTCAGTATCATAATTGAATATCTTTTTTTCTCTTCAAGTTAAGTATTTAACAATAAATGTTCGTGTTAATGTTACTCAATGTTGTAGTCGGACCAGATAAGCCAGTCTTTTCATGATGGCTGTGGAACTGTTGGAAGGTAAAAAGGGTGCATTTCTGGGCCACAATGATGGTTATGGTTATTATCATTCACACTGAGGGAGTCATTACATTTACTAGCTGAAGTACTGTAGTTGTTTTCTCTACCACTTTAATGAGCCCAAGAGATTTAGTGAAACTGATATCACTTTTAATTCTGTTTATGTAAAACTGAACTGATATTAAAGATGAATAATGCTGACACACTACAGCAGTGTGTGTGTGTAACATCTCATCACAACCCACTTTCATACCAATCTGTTGAACTGTGGCCCAGTGGAACATCCCGGCTGAAATGCGGATTAAGGCTGAGTATTAAAAACTCACATTGAGCCTCATGTGCATTTCACTCATCCTGTCCTCAAACATTTCTCTCCGAGCCTGTTCGACTGGAACATGTCGGCTGTTAACATGAACGTCTCGGGGATCCACCATGGGACGCTCAGGATGTATGGTGAGTTGATCCTCTTCTTCAATGAGCAAGTGGTGATATTATATATCTCTATAGTACATGGTGTGGTTTTAAAAAAGATATGGTAACCTCCAAATGTGATGTCTGTTCACTCTCAAGCCTTTATAAATGTTGTTTGTATTTTATCAGCATTGTATAATTTTAATTAGATTCAGCATCATGGAGGTGTGATTATGTTGAATAATTGTTTAGTAGGATAATGAATAAATTTTGTGTCTCAATGAAACTCATCAGACTAAAATGAGACATTACAGCATGTTATCATATTGTTAATAGAGTCAGCAATACTCCTGACACCAAGTAAGATAAGGAAAAATAGCCTCTCTTTTTATCCGCTAAATGATCCAAGTTATCAGGATTTAAAAAAACTAAATAATATTTGTTCAAAGATAACCCTGATAAAACCATAATCTCAAACTGTAACTGAAAACACACTAAAAAGATCAGCTGCTTTGTCCTGTCTCATTAGCTCTTGGTATTGTCATTGTTATGTGCTTTCTATGTTTAATGCCCATGTGCTTTTACTGTATGTATCTAAAATGAGTAGACCCAGATGTGGACTCCGGTCAACACTGGCTGATTGGTTCAGTCCCACATCCACACCCCTTGATCCTCCAACCATCTGACTGTCTCTAATCTGTTTGTATGATAGAATAACAGAGTGTTCGTGCTTTAATCCAGCTGTACGCTGCTCCCACTGCTATCAGGATCACTGTGACCATGCTTAATACTGTCAATGAGATTTTGGTGTTGGGTTATGATTAGACGTGTTTATCACGGCATAATACTTCAACAAATACTATTTACTATTGAGTGCTATTTCCTGTTCCTGTTTCTTTTCCCCAACCTACTTCTCTTATTCAGGTGGATTTATTTTCAAACAGTGGAAGAAGAGGTTTCTGCTCCTAACAGCTGAGGGCAGTCTCCTTGTGTGCCATGATGTATCATCTCCCCCTGACCAGCTGGTGCTGTTGCAGAGCAGTTGTGAGGCAATTGTGGAAGGCAAGGATATCCTTGACCTGCCTAAGTTACCCTCCGGTGGATGCAGGGATTGCTGCTTCGCTCTGATTCTCCCCCAGGATAAATTCCTGCTGTTGCTGACCGAAACCGCTACAGACTGCAGGTCACTGTGTTTGCTTTACTGATTGCTTTGCTATGTTCCAGTAGAATGATATATACTGTTCACATCTTGGATTCAACTTAAGTTCAACTGAGTACATTTAACACCAGTTACTAGCAGTAGTAATAGTAGATAGTTCCAGTATATTGGAAAATATGCTTTTTCACATTTTTACCAAGAGTTAGACGAGGAGATTGATACCACTCACATGATTGGAAGGCTGAAAACAGGGAAGCATCTTAGCCTGGCTACCCTTAATGTATAAACGACAAGAAGAGAGTCCAGGAAGTCACACTGGTCCCGGCCAAAAAATAGTCTGGCACATAACCCCTGCAAGCGACTTGTAATTTTTTAAAATATATATACATATATTTGGGCTTTTATTGCCTTTAATTGATAGTGACAGCTGGAGGGTGACAAGAGAGGGGGAGAGAGAGAGAGAGAGAGAGAGAGAGAGAGAGAATGGCACGCAGCAAGGGGCCGCAGATCGGAATCTAACCCATGGCAGCAAATACTGCATATTCTGTTCCTGAAACCTATGCATTGAACTATTAGTGCTGTATTGATGGATGTATGATTTGTATGGAGGTAATAACAGAATATTTTTTATCACTTTTTAGTCAATGGCTGAATGTGCTGAGAAAAGTGAAAAAGGTGAGTTAATAATACATATTTATTAAGGTAATTGTTTATTTTGGAAATTGCGTATACCTAACAAGACTATCGGCTCTGTGAGGCTGTGTTTAGGCACAGTGATGCTTCGAGCTAAATGCTAATGTCAGCATTACATCATAGTTTCTTCTATTTCCTACAGAGTCTCTCATCACCTCTCAGTCCTTGTATGCGACATCATGGGCCACGCATTACTCTTCAAGACCTGGTGCCCGAGCAAATCCTGGACAAAGATGCACCAACTCCACCCGCCAGCGACACAGAGGCACCCTCCCCGGGGCCTCTGACTTGTGGTTCCCCAAGGGAGAAAGGTGAGTTTGGAGCGTGTGCTCCTCTTGTCTGTAACATTTTCTTGTAAATAATCAGGTTAACATGTTCATCATGTTTGACTTCATAACATGTCATAAAAACATGTATGTTTTCTTTACACTGCTCAATCCAACAGGCAGGATTTCTCCCCATACAAAGTCTTACAAAGGAGGTGCACATTCAGTAGGGTGTCTGCGTCATGGCACTATTAGTAATGCCCAAGCAGTGCGGGCGGTTTATCTGCTGATGGGAGGGGCTGCTGCTTCCTCTGCTATGGGTTACCTAGGTGCATGCTCGCTCTCTAATCTGGAAGCCAAAGCTCCTGACTTGCCACTCAACACGGATTTCTCTGGTATGGGACCAGCAGGAGCATACCACACCGGTGGCCCCGCACTTGACTCCCCTCACTATAACAGTTTTGACTTTGAAGTGGCAGACTCTGATTTTGATGCTTTTGATTGTGGTGGATTTACTTTCTAATGATGTGCAGGAGGAGGCTATGCATACGGACAGCTTTCATGAAACTCACTTGATATTTCATCATAATTTGTCAAAATGACACAACTATATGAAGGCCTCTAATTAAAGCTTTTCATGCTTTTATAGGGAATAGGGTAAATAACTGCAATAAGGGATTGGCCAACAGAAACAAGAGTGAACACACTACTGACATATCACCTTAGCCAACTTACACTTACACAGTTCAAAATAGTAAAGTAGTACAAGTAAAAGTACATAAGTATTATCAAGAATATGTATAAAAGAAAAGTTTGGCTGTGTAGTTTTAACATTATTATATATTATACTAAAGGTCCAGTGTGTAGGATTTAGTGTCATCTAACAATGTAGTTGCAGATTGCCAGTGTTTGGGTTGTCTGTTCAAGGCTACTGTAACAAACATGGCGGTTCAACATGGCGGCCTCCGTGGAAAGCAACCCGCTCCCTCTGTAGATAAAAACGTCTAATTTTACGGTAACAAAAACACAACAAATTTTTACTTTAAGGGCATTATAAACTAATGAAAACACACAAACAAACATGAATATTGTATTCCATTTCTGCCAATAGGTCATCCAAAATGTTACACACTGGACCTTTTCAACTGCATGATACGACTTGGCTCGACTCTACTCACTCTTTTTTGGTTTTCCATTGTGGATAATACCTACTACCACCTTGGTTGGGATTCCAGGCGAGCTGAGACAATACTAAAACGTGAAAGGAAAAGACTGCAGACCAATGACTGGTCAGAGTAGTGTAGTGAGTATGCGGTTGAGTAAAAGAGAGAGCGAGCAGCAGAGAATGACGGCGAATGTGAGCGGTGCAGAGGAAAAGGAGAGCAGTGAAGTTGTCAGTCTCAATAATTTAGAGAGCTGAGTTTTGGTTAAAGTTTGTGAGTGAATAAAGGCTGCAGCTTCTCAACACCAAACTAAAGCTCCTGTATGTTGTTTCACAACTGCTGGAGAAGTGTTGCCATGACACTCAGCTCCACCTCCTGAGGGAGATTTCTGGCTCTTTAGCTGCGTAATGCTCCAGATGCTCACCAGTCACTGACTTTGTCTGCCTAATGTTTGGTGCTGAGCAGCGAGTGTAGCTACTAAACACATTAATCTGTTACTCCAGTTAAACTTCCTCTATTATATTTCACTGACTTTAAACCAACTCCCCGCCCACATATATATATATTTTTAATTATAAGTTTAAGTTAAGTCAGGCAAAGTAAAAAAGTTGTTACCATGTTGTTGTATTATATGCTATAACACCTGTGTTGTGATATGAACACTGTGATAATTATTGCTATAACAATTTTGTGCATATTGCCCAACCCTTGTATATACACCATTTGTCACGATAATGACATCATCAACTCTATCATTGATTGTGAGTGTGATAAGAGTTTCTGAGAATGCATAATATGCTATGTATGTACGTGTGTATGAACTGAATGTGTAAAAAACCATGCTATGGGTACTGATGGGAGATTCGCAACTTGACTCACTTGTGTTCCAATTCTACATATTGTTGTAGGAGTATTGTGCTTATTTTATAACGTTCAATGGATTAAAATAGATCTGCATCAGATTTTTCATTTAGTTTACAACAAGTTACAACCTCTGGCTGTGGACTAATAAACCTACTATAAGGCTCTTCCAAATCTCAGCACCATCCACTTTTGTGCATGTACTGTGTTTCTTTCAAAGATCCAACTGTTACTGTGTGCTTTATATCTATGTTAGGTTAAAAGCAAAATTTGTTGGTCTATTTGAGCCAATTTCACTTATTTGAATAAAACTGACTGACTGGGAATTTGTCCATTTTACTTTCTTTTCTTCATACATTTTCATAAATGTAACAACCTAGACTGTATTTCCCACAGTGACTTTAGTGAAGTAAATTAACAAACACATCTGCAGAAAGAAACTGAGCTGAGCTGTATGAGTGAACAGAGAACCATAAGAAAACTGTGTTGCTTACATACTCAATTGTACAGATCTATTAGTCCATCTAAACTGTCCAAATACCTGAAGCATTCACAAGAATGTGCACCTTCAACTAGTTTTACCAGCTTGTAGGGTGAATCACAGGGCAATTTGGTGAAACATGTATTGCCAAACAACTGCCTTTGACATACACACAATCATTTGTGATCAATCACAATAAAACCAATCCAATTGAGCTGGTGGCAGGAGCTGTATGACTGAAATTAAGCAGTTTAAATGTGTTGCAAGTCTCTTATTTTGAAGGGGAGGCATCCTCAGGATAACGTCACATAGCAAATACTAAAACAAATATCCAGTGGTATTTAGATTTCTGCTGCTGTTACTATAAATGTTCTCCCTCACTTCTCTCAGAAGATTCATTGACTTAAAAGTGATTATTCTTTTCTTAGCTCCACACAAATCACCAATACATCAATTAAAGTGCACACCAATGAAACAACAGCATAGGTTGCATGAATGAAATGTGCAGCATTTACACACTTTATTGGGTATATACTGAATTGTTACTATACTGTATGATTGTACTCTAGGAACCCCCCACTCAAGCTGCAAAGCCACTTGTAACTGTCACCAGCACCTTTCAGCTTATTTACCTCACTGACAGTGAATATTCATGTGACCTATGTGTCTCAGATGTGAACTTTCTGGTTATTAATACGTTTTTTTTTTTTTGTTGTTGTATCTTATTCTGCATAATTTAAATACCAGAAGCTAATTCATATTTAAAATAAAGAATCACCATTTTCCTGGAGGCTCATCCATTCTGCCTCCTCTCCTCTTTGGGATTGCCTTTTCCTTTGTGTATGACTATTTGTTCTGCAACCAACTGCACATTATTATCATTTGGCTATTTCCTGTTTTTCTCATTATATGTGTGTGGGGAAAAGGGGGGGGGCGTGGCCTCTGCTGCGGGCGCTCGATGACGCGGTGCCGGTCTGGTGCGCCCCTCCGTGGATACCGCCGCAGTAGCCCCGCCTGGTTCGGTGAGTGTAGTAGGTAGTGGTAGCAGCAGTGGTAGCAGCAGTGGTAGCAGGGCCCTCCCTCTGTCTCTGCAGATAAATACTCGCAGCCTGCCTCTCCCAGGCATGGATGACGGTTGCACTCAGACATGGCACTCCAACTTTCCCCTTTTTTTTTCCTCTTCGGGGGGGGGGGGGGGGGGGGGGGTGGGGGTTTTGATTTTTGTCTTTGTTTCGGGTTTAGGCCCCCACCGGGGGGGGGGGGGTTGTTTGTTTGGTGGCTCCCCCCCCCCCCCCCCCCCCCCCCCCCCTCCTAACATCAACCTGCTAAATCCGTGTATCATTCGTTCTTTCATATTCATTGCGACCAAAAAAAAAAAAAAAGGTTTGTTATTTCCTTATTCGTTATGAATCACCAAAAAAATAACGTTCATTTTTACTTTCGATTTATTCTCAGATCAAACCAAGGAAATTAAATAACGGGCCACGGATCGATTTCATTTTGGTATTTAATGGTTTGTGTGAACCGGAAGTTATTGTCTCTTGTGTGTTGCGACTTGTTATTTAAACCAAAAAAAGCAGTATTGTACTCTGTAACACAGGACTTATTGTACTCTGTATTTAAGGACTTTTTTTACTCTGTATTTAAGGACTTATTAAGGACTTATTTGAAACTGCAGGTTACAGCCACTGGAGATCAGTTGTTCGACAGCCCTTTTTTTTCCTCTTAAAAATCACAATCAAACACTTTAATAAACCCAGGGGGAATTACTTTCGGGACATGCTCCATAGAATTAACATAAATATATTAAAATATAATATAATATAATAAAAGAACAGTGTAAAGTGGTCAGGCTTCCTCTTCAGCAGAGGCTCATAGCAGATGTTGGGTTTGCAGAGGGATGTACGACAACGATTACGTCACCCTCCCTCTCCCCCCGACTAACATCAACCTGCTAGTCTGTCACTGCCCTTCAAAACAGTAACGCTTTATTGATCTGGCGATCAAACCACCGGCATTATCAGCTGTTCTTTGACACATGTGTGGCGACATAAAAGAAAAACACAAAGTCTCAAACAACCGTAGGGCCAAAAAAAAAGAGAATAAAAGTTAAGAAGTTAGAAAGCAGACTGGAGTAACAGTCACTTTTCGCCCACGCGCCAGGAAGATGAAGATGAATGAAAGATGAAACTCTCCATCATTGATCCCAGTTTTGAAGACTAACGTTAGTTAAACTGAAGAAGTGAATCAAGAAAAAAAAAATATTTTTTTTTTTTTAAAAAAAAAAAAATATTTATTAAAAAAATAAATTTTTTTTTTGGCCTTTTTTTTTTTTTTTTTTTTTTTTTTTTAGAAAAAAAAAAAAAGTTAAAAAAAGGAACCTTTTTTTTTTTTTGGTATCAGATTCATAAACGAATAAGGAAATAACAAACCGTTTTCATTTTGGTTTTGGAATCAATTGAATAAAAAGAACGAATGATACGGATTCTGCTAGTCTGTCACTGCCCTTCAAAACAGTAACGCTTTATTGATTGGGATCAAACACGGCACATCATGGCACATGCGTGTGTGTGTGTTTTGACAAGTTGGGGTTTAGAAGTGAAAGTTAACGCGGGGGGGGATATATCGGTTTAATGTTATTTGCATGGTCGTGTGTTGTTAGACGTTACACTTTTTTTTGAACTTGTCTGTTCAGTCCTATTGCTCTGGATAGCGGCCCCTCTGGCCATGTCAATAAAGTATGTTCAATCCGTGGCTGTCGCACAGGAAGTGGCGCATGTTCGGCCATGTTTGTAGTTTTATGTGTCGAAATCTGAGACGTAGAGGCAACGCTGGCAAAAGTGTTCAAATCCTTTACACGTGTAAAAGTAACAGCTAACCAGAAGTTATGCGTTGATATATTCATGAAATGAAAGTAGGTATTAATAGCTAGATGTAGTTAATGTATTAAAAGTAAAAGAGCTGATAATGCTGAAGCATTAATACTGATTGTGTATTATTGATATGGTGTTACTGATTTATTAGGATGGAACTTAGCATTTTACTGTAGCTGGTCAAGGAGGTTTTTCTAATTATGTTTTTATATACTGCTGGGTTGTTTAATCTGTAACATATTTTATATGATGATCACGTGCTTTCTATGTAAAATCTTAATAAATAAAGTTGTCAAATAAATGTTGTGGGGTAGAAATATAAAGCATCTTTGAATATAAATACCGAGACACTGAGGAGCTTTGAAATTATACTTACTTATCTGGCAAGAATGTTGTGTGTGAGGTATTTGAGTATAGCGTTTTACTCTAAGACTGCTAAAATGAGTGGTTACGTTGCAGATTAGGATTTTAAAATGAATAAATGATGACCCTATAACATACATTGCTTTGTTTAACACTACATTAAACTACAAAAAGTGTTTCAGCCACAACCAGCTACAACATTAAAATGGTGCTTACATGTTAATCCATCTGTAATAATTTAGTGATTATCCAGCTGTATGAAATATACTGATATGACACTTCCAGGGGCCTTTCAACCTGTATTAATGAGTACTTTTACTTAAATACTTACCTTGAATGGACCTTTACTTGTAATAGAGCACATTTTACATTGTGTTTCTATTTCAGTACATGGTCTGAGTTCTTCTGTCATAACTGATGCCGAGAAAGTATAAAGGGTTATTATTTTTTCATTGTTCCATCCTCTCTTTTTCTCAGTTGACTCTTCTTCGACAGTTCCTGGTCTACTGTCCATATTTCATGAGCAGGAAATGACAGAGACTGTCCATGACACAAATGGGCATGGATACCTTGCTACTCTTGTAGGGAAGAATGGCCGGTAAGAACAACGTCTTTCACTTGCCACATTTTTTTTTTTTTTTTTGGACAAACAAAATTTCTTTGGCCTGTCAGTGCAGGAATTTTCAGAAACATCTAAGGGTCATGTTGTTTGTTACGGATCTGGTTCTAACCTTCCTGGGGCCCTAAGCCAGATATACCTGACCCCGTAAACCATGTGAACACTCTCTACAATTCTTCCTCCTTTAACATCTGCTTACATCTGTCGGGTCTAAGAAATTAGTAGATCAGTACAGAACAGAATGAGGTAGAAACAAAAAATATTTATTCAATATAATATTTTCTATAGAACATGATTAACATTAACATTGCAGAAAATATAAATGTAGAAAATAATAAAAACTAAAAACTGAGATTTTGTTCTGCTGCCTGGTAATTAGTCCCGTATTATCCTCACAATATTATAAAGTTAGTCTTGTCTATACAATGTAAACATAAGCCTATAGGCTCTAGCTGCAGCTTTAAGTCTCAGAATATATCACGCCCATTTACACTGGAAAGTAGTTACCATAACTGGATGTGTAGTAAGTTTCTCCAGAATTTGTTGTTGGGCTTCACATATTTTTTTCCTCATTGTAGCAACAAATTAGCTTGCCCTGACCACACAGCTGAAGTAACTGTGTTACACCGTTGATGTTGAACTGGATTCATGAATCGGAGCTTGCCATTTTGTGGGTATTTCATTAAGGAAGCCTGCAATACACCCCTGACTATGAAACAGCACACTTTATACATACGATACGACACACACAGACTCTGATGCATGTAGAGATGAACTACTATCTCTCCCTATCGGTTTCTGTTGTTCAGTTAAATTTAGTGTTGAAAGGCCGGTACGGTCTGCAGCATGTGTGCATCGTGCAAATGTCTTTTTATTTTAAAATAAAAAGACATTTGAAATTAATTTTATTTATTTTTTTCACTCAACACTTGTTTGAGATTAAAAGCTCTCTGGTGTTTCTGTGGACAGATTCCAATCATTTGTTAACAA